GTGGCCTCAGGGCCTCGTCTGCCTAAACTGACTGAAAAAGGACCTAAAACAGTGAAACGCTTCTTCGTTTTAGGTGATATTAAAGGTCTAACCACAACTACATTGCTCTAATTGGATTTGAGGGTTTTCCTGTAATATCCACCATATGACGAAAACGCAAGCCCTATCTTCGGTCTTATCCAACTCGAGAGACAATCTCCCGATGCAGGTCTGGGCTTCGGAAACCAACAAAACAGGATCGGATGGCTGGGGATATATCTTGGATTTTGCACTTAAATTAGGTGGGTCCCAATCCCAATAAAGTCCTACTTGAGAACACTGTAATTCCAGATTTACATGCATTTTATCATAAAAATATGTAATATTTTAATCCAAAAAAACCACTGTAAATAGTAGTATAAGGAAGGAGCAAGAGCAGCTTTGTACCAACCAAGACGTTTATTGCCCAAAACCCTGTGTTGGCTGTTTTACTGCAGCTGCGGGAAAGTGGAAGGCATCCCGCTGTCGTTAACCCATTTCAATTATTAATAAAATAAAACCTTTTCAATTATTTAATTGATAAAATAAAACAAAGAATGAATCTTTATGGTAGAATATTATATTGTTTAGCACCAGCGGTCGTGTTGCATGGATGAGGGGATTACATAAAGACGTCGACAATGGTTAGACTTTTAGGACCATAGCGAGTACCATAATCGATCATTGAATTTCGGGTATTGCAATTATTGAGATTTCATTATGATATTTGTAGGGAAGGGGCCGAGAGGGTACTCGGTTTCTAGAGCCTAAGAAAGAAGGGAGAGGACCCGATCTCCCTTGGGTAAAACTCTTGAGTCTTCGGCCCTTCGGACCTACATCTAAACCTGGCTAGGAAAGTTTGCCTTTTTAGCTCTTTGAGCTGGAATCATAAATGTATCCAACAAAATAGTTATACTCTTAAATTTTAAAATAAATATGGTTATTTATTAGTTTGGGATTTGGAAGCTTAATGGTAGATAGTGGTATTAAGATGAGCCAAAAGGGTCACGTCGTAGAATGTGAATCTGCAGACTACTAAGAAATTTAAAGATTAGATCCTTTTTCAGCCCAGAGGGGTACTTTCAAAGCAAAGGGTAATAAAGAGGTTTCAGACCAGGCGTTAGAACCTTTCCATCTGTCGTCGTGAAGCCAATTTGATGATCCAAAAATGGGTTTTATGAAGCATTGAGATTAAACCCAAATCCAAATCCAAGCAGCCAACCTCGCTTAAGTCCAGTACTTCGATATTCAATGATCTCATAAAACTTTGGATGATACTTGAACCAGAATTTATGTTTGCAGCTCTATATCAAAAGATATGCAAATAATGAATGAAACAGGATTGTAATTACCTTAATGATCATTGAAGATATTCCATGTAGTTAAGGTAGGAACTAAACAGGGAAAGAGTCGTTAGAGCCCTCAACAAGTACTGATAATGTTTGCCTAATTCTGGATTAGGCTTGGA